GCAGAAAAGTAGTTGAATGTAAGTTAAATATATTACTACAATTTAAATGGTGTACGTGTGTTTTGCTATGCTTCACATCTCCACACTTCCAGTTCCTTTGATGAAATAGTACATGTCATCATTAGTGTAGAGTAAACGGTCTTCTAAGTACCATTGTTATTAGAAACCATTTTCTCTCAAACAATATTCAAACGAGTTGATGTAGATACCGATTTCACGACTGCGAAAGTCCTCATTACTCATGAGAGTGTTGAAAATAGAGAATAAAAAATAAATCTAAAATAATGATGAGTAAAAGATCGCATTTCTGATCGCGACACTATTGTAGATACTTAAAGAGTGTAAAAGTATTTGTATGATCTTCTTTCAAGCCATTGGTTTGGCAACGCTTTGGGTTTTTTTTATGTCGAGAGATTTCTTTAAAAAATCACATTCGTTCTCTGAACAACTTTCAAGATAAAATTTAGTATTAGCATATCAAGGTACATCCTTTCAATGCAACTTAAACAACCTTTTATCTTCTGATAAGGTGTAAAATGTTTTATGGATGATATAATTTCATTAGACTTATTGTGGATTTCTTTTATTATTCTTGAGGAAAGAAGGCTAGTCCGTGAAAAAAAAAGAAAAATAAAATAACTTTTCGTCTTGAATATTCTCTCTAACAAAAATAGTTGTAGCTTACAACAATGAATTCGTTTAAAAATATTTTTCTCAGCAAACAACAACAATAATTGTTTGATTGATCCGGGGTTTCAACATTATGTTTTAACATTATGAACATCTTCTGATAAGGTGTAAAATGCTTTACGGATATTATATTTTCATTAGACTTATCATGGATTTCTTTTATTCTTGAGGAAAGAAGGCTAGTCCGTAAAAATATGAAAACTAAAATACATTTTCGTTTTGAATATTTACTCTAACTACAATAGTTGTAGCCTATATCAATTTTTCTTAGCAAACAACAACAATAATTGTTTGATTGATCCAGGGTTTCAACATTATGTTTTAACATTATGATAATGCAGACCTAATACATAATAGCTTTTTAGTATATAGAAAACTTAAAGCTACACAAGATAAATCATTAAGGAAAGTCAAAATTGTAATTAAATTTTAAAACATACTGCTGAAAAATCCTACTGTAAAAAGGGTGTTACAACCTGAGGTTTTTATTTTTAGAAAGAAAAAAAAACACAAATTGTCGCTGGTTTGAGACTAGCCGGCTGCAGTGACGGTTCTAAGACCTTGTGAATAGGGGGATACTAGGGGGTTTGAGGGTATGGAACAATCCCCGTCCCCCCCCCCAAGACAGGAGGGGGGTCCAGGGGTCCATCCAAGGAAAATTTGGCATTTTAAAGCCTTACGGTGACATTCTAATTACATTATTAACGTCTAGAACTGTGTCCAAAAACCTCCATTACATTTTAGGGCGGGGGTTGGGCTTTAACCCCTGTAGCCCTCCCCCTGAGACGCACTCCTAGCACTATCTTACCTCAACAGCCACCTCTGAGACCTATAAGGCTTACACCTAATGTATTTTCATCACTGAAAATATACGGTGATAGAAAGTTCGCCTTTGGTTCAGGGGTTTTGAACAAAATTCACTATGACCGATTTTATTCATGGCCGTTGACATACTCTACGTAAAACCAACAAGCTAATATCAAATTAAAATGTGAAATATACCAGATTTGAAATTTACAACGGAATACCTTAATGACATCAACTATATCTACATAAAGTAAAATATGGGGGAGCAATATGGATGTCACAGAATTGCAACTGACAGCGTTTATGTTGGTATTGTGTCCACCACAATGTACAGAAGCCAACTAGTTGCAGTGTGGGAGTGAGAAGCCTTTAGTCTGAACCAGTCTACTATTGACTCGGTGTGAGATCTGAATCTTAGGTGTGGGATACTTTTAATTGGTTATGTTATAAGTTAGGGGTTACTGTTCTAGGTTTTGAATATTTTAAGTGGATTTAATGTGACGCTAAACAAAATAACTTTGCTTCATGTTGTAGATTGAAATTTCCTATTAATCATAATGTTCAGAAAATTAATTGTTTTAAAATAAATACTGATACCGTATTCAGCGTTTTGGGGTTCTACCACAAACATCCAGGGTTCACTACAGTAATCTATTTTTATTTTCTCTGAAAGTTAATTTATTTTGCTTATATGTTACTTTTCAAAAGTAGTAACATGTAGTAATTAGAGATATATCTTCGAAACGTTCATGGTGTTATCATTATATTACCTAGTATGCTACAATGTTGCGACAATTTTTAAAAATGAGTAAAAAGTATTTTAACCTAAAATTCTAGTATTTGTGCAAAATAAGTTTATATAAAATAAAAAAAAAAATATTTTTTATACATGTTATTTTCAAATATCCCTGCGTAAAACAGATTTACCACAAGTAGAAAAAGAGTTCATTGTATGAAGATTCACTTAGATAATATTTTCTTCAGTTCAATTTTCGTGGTCATTATTAAAATAGTTACATGAACGGTAAGTTACTTCCCCACTTGCAAGCACAATAGTTTTGACATTAGCAACACCTGTGTTTACAACAAAACAGCTGTTGGAGTGTCTCATTCTATGCAACCAAATTCTTGTGCGAATTGTACAGTTTTACAATGAATTTAATTTGTAAATGGTGATTCTTTATCCGTGTGTTCTAAAAAAAGGTAAATCTGTAAAAAGATAAACTAACAACTATAGGAAATAAGTAAACTGATAATCGCAGTATGGTAGGTATATGAAGTAGTTAAAATAAAAAAAATATAATAATTATGATTTCAAAATTTTGATTAAAAAGCTAATTTAACAGTTTTACTTATTGGACATAAACCTATATTCTGGCTATTACATCATAAAAGTATAAATTGACTGTCTTACAAAAGAACACGGTATATAAAAAAAAATAGTTGAAGAAGCTATATGTTTTACATGTTACTAAGAAATTAAACAATATCAAAGAAAATATAACACAATTATTTACATTATTTAATAAACTTAAAATTATTATAAAACTCAATTTTAAATAATTATATTAAAATTATTTAATAAACGGAAAAGAAATTATAAATATAAGTAAAATTGGGACTTAAGAGAATAGGGTACGTAGTATAATTGTTATTGAAAACCTTTGTTAACTGGATTTGGTCATATAAAGAAAAACTAACTTTTCTTTTGTAGAAATAATTAAAAACTACCGCAGAAAAAAGTGATTCATTGTTAGAGTCATGACTGATGTCAGAATTTACAGTTTTTAAGGTTAAACTTTATTCTGTTTTAACGAAAAGGCAAACTTTTTCATAATTATAACGCTTGACACTTGCTAAGCTTTATTAATGACAAGAACTAAGTTTAACTTTGTTATGACGGAAATTTCTTTAAATTAAAATATAATGAGGGGAGGAAATGTTACGCTTAACATTATAAATTCTCAAATGTCTGCATCTATTTTGCCTAACATGACGAGGGAGTAAATATTTTTTCATTGACTACTATTAGCCAGTTAATTAAATCTTGGTTAACACAATAAAAATAAATACAAATTAAAGGATTACATTTAATAAACATTGTTAATACATTATTAATGGTAGGGTTTTCAATGACCAATCAAAGTTTAAACTTAACGCAATAAATGAGAATTTTAAATTCATATCATAAGTGAATATACGTGTTATAGAGTGTGATACTGTAACAAATATAACATCAACTTTTTATGTAATAACTAATACGTATACCATTAAAAAAAATGTGAAATAAGGTTGATAAACTATGGCTTCTCTTATAGTAGTGTTGAAACCGTTTGATTAAAAAATGAACCGATTCTTACAACCAACAAATCTCTTATGGGCTGCTAATATTCAACAATCCACCAATTATATCTCTTCGACCTCATTAAAGAATGTCAAACATGATAAGAATCATGTCATTGAATGAAAGGCCTTATTAGGTGTTGCTGTATAAACAGCTGATAGTTCATAATGAGAGCGCGAGTAGTCTAGTAAGTACTAGGGTCTTCAAAACGAACCATTACTCAAATACATTTTTTTATACATGGTATATGGAGAAAGAAGAACTATATTGTGTTTTTCAGAATTTTCGATTTTAATCTTTTGGTGGAAATATCTGTTTGGGCCGGGCTCTGAACCTCCAAAAAATGTTTTTGAAGTGATGTTTCTGTGCATGTGTACAGATTAAACCTGTGATCCGATTTTGATGAAATTTGTTACCATGTGTGTACTGATCCATAGCATATGCAGAAATGTGTCATTTTTCAAATTTTGATTTTCAATGCTGATTTTCCATGAACCCAATAAAATTACTGAAAATCTAATTTTTGCAAAATGCGCTCAAACGATATTGATTAAAATTGAATATTTTATGATCCTTTCAACCCTAAAAAATGGTTTAACCTCTTATGCTGTAAAACATTACAGTTAAAGAGTTATTACAACTTTAGTAATTTTCCACATACAATTTAATAGTTACTCCCATCGCTCACCAATGATAAGGGCTGTCGACAAGCATCTTCAAGAACAACGTTGCAATAGCTTAAAATACGCAACTTAAGTATGCGTGGCTGTCTCAAAGAAATTATGATTGACCATTAATGCAATGTATGTGTCATGTGGTACAACTGAACACTCTAGTTTCATGTATAGGAAGAAAAAGGGGTAACATGATTCCAACCCAACCACAAGTGTGGGGCGAGCTGGTTTGGGGTAGTGCGTGGACTTTGGTCACAAGTCCAAGGTTCAAACCCCTCCAATCATCAATGTATTTGATCTATGTGATAATGCCGCAACCCTCTAGCCCTGAATAAGTAATTTGTAAAATGGTTCCGTGCTAGAGGCTAGCGTCCTAGGATGTGAAGGTAGGACTTAAAACCTTACAAGTGTACTTTATCTTCTCTCTGTTGCTGCACATGTATTTGTAGCTGTATCATTTACGTTTTTAAACGTAGTCAACTTACATTGCTGAAGAAGCCCTTCTCCTCTGCAGCGCGTGCAAGTTGAGGTCCCTTGCCGCTAGGGTCGCAGGGTCGTAGCCTGGCCTGAGCAGTGACGTCAGTCGTTCCACACAAAGGGACTTGCTGCGGTCCCTGTTTGCAGCGGCGGCGAGTAACCGTTCCTCCTCGAGTCGCCGCGACTTGTCACCGCGGAACCGCGACACTAACTGTGACAACGATGTAGATACTACTGGATCGTACCTCGATGAAATATTTAGAGGATTTTGTGTAATAGGAGTGAAAAATACGAGGGGAAACAGCTGTTTTAAATCAGCTAAGAATCTGTTAACTGTCTAAAGATGTAGGTAGAGAACACAAATAAAGCCAGCCTCAGGAAGTACATGACAAGTTGACTATCAAAATTTAAATTGGTAATCTGGTACGTAAAAAGGGTTATAACAAAGACATAAGTATCAATATCAAAGTGGGAAAATAATCTGCAATAAAGAGTCACCGTTTTTTAAGTCCTGGTGATTATACAATGGCACTACCATCTACCATGAAGAAATGGTGCCAATACACCCATCATAATATAGCTAGTATCACAAACGTTTTTAATAGTTTTAACTTTACTAATACTATTCAGGGGACAGTGGGACTTTATCAGTGGGTGGGGGACTTTATCAGTGGGTGGGGGACTTATTTTGTTGAAACTCTATAAGTGAAACTATTCCTCCGACAGAGAACCATTTGAATTAATCGTTTCCAAAATAGATTCAGTATTTTTAAAAGAATTATTCCATCAGATAAAATTACGAAGATATGATCCAGTAGTAGAATAAACATACAGTATTTGTACAGCTATGCAGGACCCACTTTCATATTACGAGTATTAACAACAATTTGAAAGATAAAATAGTTTGGTAAAAGATAACTTAATAATGTAAGGGACTTATTTAACAGTACAGCTAACCTAACCTAAATATTATCCTAACCTAACCTATGACGAAAATTTGATTGATGTTTAAAAACCTAAGTTGCGATACACAAAAAAAATATATGTTAAAAATATTACTATTTTGACAAAACTCATTACAATTATTTCATTTTGCTTGAGCAAACTCGTACAAACTATACGTTAAAAGTTAGATTTATTTGCGAAAACATGCACATTCTCAAAACTAGGTTAGTTCAGATAGTATCAGAACTACCCATAATTCCAGGTCGTAAAATATCTAGCAGACGACGTTCGAATGGTTTATGGTTACTCTTTATGCCCTAACCTCTGCCGCAAATATTACAGTCCAGTAAGTTTTAAGTGTTTGTTTTATGGAGCGTGTTATGCCTACTTGCCCGAAGTGATATAAAACTTTACGCAAAGTTTACTTTGGTACAGTTTAAAACGGTTGAAGAATTATTCCGTCTGTGTGCGGAAAATATTCATCTCTTTATTACACTTCACTTGAAAATCTTGATGGGTTAAGTTGTAAAGAGTTGGTTTTTATTTTTACAAAGACATTTTTCGTTTAGATTGGTTATATTACTTGAAAAAGTAATGATTTTGGGAATATTGTAACGAGTACATGGTGTTTAACAATGTGAAATTAAATTGATGACATTGGATATTTTCTGCACTTTCTGATCCACGCTCTGTCAAACATAAACCAAAGTTTAAGTAAAATATTTTAATTGAAAATATTGTTATGAATGGATATGACTGTTTTTTTATGAAAAAAAAAACTCACAGTGAAATTGGTTATGTGCTCTCATAAGTTTTTAACACCAGTGAAATATACAAAACATAAAAGGTATTGCGTTTTTACATAGCTTGTGAAGTGGACAAAATGTTCAATGCCTTGCAATTTTTATTGATTCATATTTATTTTCTACTTTGTATAATTTTTTTTTAGGTAATATGCTGAATGTCAGCCTTCATTAACTTAACTTAGTAACGTACTAATATATGTCTAAGACATTTAATTAAAAAAAATATATTTTCTAAATTAAATTTGTTTGCAAATGTTTATGAACCAAACACACAAAACAAAGCATACTAGTACGCTCAGTAGAATCACTCGGAAATCGGAATTGAGAGTTCTATTTAAAAAAGAATGCATCTAAAAAGTTTCAATCTAATCTGAACACAGCTGCAGTTGATTTGAAGGCATTTAACTAACGTTTACCAATATAATACACTTGTTAGCAAATCAGATACTAGTTTGCACTTGATAATTTGTTATTATTATGTCTTACTACATCGCTGATTTGGTTTTGTATAAAACACAGCTAAAGAGATTAAAAGTGTCAAAACTTAATTGGTCTATTTCAAAGAATATACTGAATTAATACCTGATAAAATGTTTTATATCACTTTAGGAAATAGTACATACATAATTTCACCCAACAATTGTTATTATTTTATTGAGTACCGTAGGCTACTCATGATAATAAATAAATCTGTCGTAAGAAAAACTTTTATTTCAAGAGGTGATTCTGAAATCATACAAAGACCTGGCTTTTACAGTGCTATTGAGGTTGATTAGCTTATTTTCAAGCTCTTAAAAAATAACTTTTTCATTGATTCCACAACATAATATATCTTACAAAGTTCATATGTGCATTTCCCTGACTACCGTTCAAATGGTAATTACTTTAAATTACTTAAAAGCTCTTAAGAAGATGTGAAAACACAACTAATTGTTAAGTGAAAACAAAACAAAGGTTTTTGGACCCTCAAATAAAATATTAGGATGCACTTTTTGTTCAATATTTTGTTGTTTTTGCAATATTTTGTCTCCTTTCTTAGCAACTTTTTAACTTATTTTAGACAAACTTTTGAGTTGGAATTTAAACTGATAGTGCTAAAACCACAATAAAAACTATAATTAAAACCCCTAAGGGGAAATTTTAAGATACGAAAGTGGGTCCGGAATCTAGTGCAGGTACCTCTGATAACATGTTGACCGGACGTCACTTGTGATAAGGCTTATCAGCGCGACACGACCATGTCGCACAACCCCGCGCACAACACTGACTCTCACAACCGTGTCGCCGCGCATGTGCGACATAGCTCCATTCATAACTTGGCGGGTAACGCGACCTGCGGATATCGGCCGTTTGACATGAAGTTGCCCGTTCGAATTGAGTCGTTGAGATGTGCTGATGTCTGTTAATACTGTTCAATGAAATGGCGACCATACATAGTAGGTATTTTAAGCCATGAATGGAGATGAGTGTAGGATGAGTGGCGCGATCTAGTCTTGTTAGTGACTAAGGCCGACATTCCTTAGACACAGCTGTTAATTAATAGTTGCAGCTAATAGCAACTAAGGGACCTACAGTTTATAGTGGAATCCGAACCACATTTTTCCTCATATACGAATTGGTCTAATTATCAGGATAGTACTGCGGATGTCAATAATTACTGATTTCAATCGAGTATGTAATTTTTTCATCCAAGGTGAAAATGTACCAAATTTTATGGACATCAACTTCCACAGCCAAAAGCTAAGGCATTTCGTTGCTCACTCTGTAAGTAGCTCGTTTGATGTGTTTTTTTTAAAGTTGAGTTTTCAGTACAGTAGTAATTTTTTAATGTCGGAAGTATCATTAAAAAGAAAAGGATTTGGACATTTTCCGTTAATTCACTATCACTAATTAGTATATTAGCATAGAATAAATAGGTTAGATTAGGACTATGCTGAAGAGGTCTGTAAACATAGTCCTAACCTAACTTAATCCAACCTAACCTAACCTAACCCAATACACTAATTAGAGGTTGTGAATTGACGAAAAAGGTCCAAGTTTTTCACTTGTGAATTTTACCTGAATGTCCTTGTGATCCCCAGGTCCTTTAGGAACCAGCAAATGTACTACAGCTATAATTATGCCACAACTAGATTTATGTTTGCTACTTTGTAATACAACGTTTGACTCCATCACAACATAGTTAAATTGTATAGGTAGCCGGAGAGGTTGCACTGCTCGCCTTATGACCCAGAGTTAACTGGTTCTATCTACAATTCATTCGTGACGGAATGGTGGAGGCATTGATTTTCTCTAACATCGTTATCGAATACTACTATAATAGCGTCATAGAGGTCGAAACAACTTATTAATTCAGCCGATGCGCCACATATACAACTAAATATTATCTTTCATAATTTATTATTCAAAGTTTGATATCATCTAATAGGTGTCTCATTGTCTTGGTGACCGAGTGCAATAGGAGGTAAGGAACTATCGCTTCATCAGGTCGAAAATATCGTTTATATATTAGTGTTTATGTTCGTGTTTGTGGCCGTGACCATGTTCATGTATAAATGTTACAGTGTGTCTATTGACGACCTTCTGATGAATTGATTTTGACATCCCCTGGACGCCTGAAGACTTCGTGAGAAGTTGAAACTAGTTGCGTTATTGCAACAACATTTTGGATTACTAAGTAGCAGAGATATACACCAATTTTTATATATTTAACGAAATCCGATTGCTATTATAAAAAAAATTTACTTGCTTCGACTCTTGTAGACCAATTTACACGTCGTATCGTCACAACAGCTACCAAAACGTTAGGTTAGGTTAGGTTACAGTATTTACAATTAATTTGAAATAAAAACCAGTTTAGTATATAGAAGGACGAACAAAGTAACTTATTAAGTAATCATAAAATACGTGTCAATGTATTTTAGTAGCATTTTTTAAAAGAATTCAGTTCAAAACGTGTAAAATAAGTATTACAATGAATTTGAAAAAAAGTTAAAAATGTGTATGTTTTTTTTTTTTTTTATAAATGATTTTCCAATCAATTATTAATCATTCTAAACATATGAAGACAAACCATGACAAACCATGTGAAGACAAACCGATTGTATTATATCTTTGAATATCTTTTAATTAATTGTTTTTGAAATTAATAAACATTTATGTCCATTCGTAATTAATTTTGACAGTATTTGTTCAGTACTAAACATAGCGATTCATACAGCATCTTCTTAAGTAAACATTGGTAGCAACACAGTTCTGTTGTTGGCGGAATTGTTTATGCTAATGTCAAAGAATCGGTGTGCGTGCACAATTATACTTGCAGATGTCGAGTTTCAAGGAATGTACGCTGACAAAGGCAAACAACGAACAACGAAGTGTTCCAAATGGAAATGTGTTCCAAGGTAAATATGTAACGTATTCATCAAATGTAATGTGAACTAAGTTTTCGAAACTAGAAATCAAACTTTTCAAGTTTTATGACTGTAGTATTTTTATATAGTTTTTAATTTAAAAATGTGGATTGTTATTTATATAGTTTTTATTGGTGTTGATTCACTTGAACAGTTGTGTGTGGCAGTTATATAATTTTTATTGAAAAGCAGCTAATGAAAAAGATTATGACTCTAAAAACGCTGAGATCAATAAACAGAGAAGGAAATAATTATTCCCTTCTGCTTTTGAACTTTGTTTTGCACTATATAAGGAGAAAATGGTGCAATGTAGGAGCTTAGGTTAACAATTTATATAATAAACACTATTTTGATTTTGTAACAAAAATTCTGAAGACGAAGAATAAAAATAAAACATAGCAAAACTCTTTTTAACAGTTTAATAGTTGTTACGATTATTAAATGAAGAAAATTGATCTAAGGGTGGACATAGGTATATATAGCCTAAGTTACCTTGAAATAATGCCACAAACTGGAAGTTAGATATAGCGTGTTCAATTATAAAAAGCTGTTTTTCTTTTAATCGTTCAGTATTAAGTAACACAAAGTAATTGTTATGTCTATAATAAGTTTTGATATTGAAACGATCTATCACATAACTTCTAAACACTATAATTATAATTATGTCATAAAGTATGTAGTGATTATATGAACAAAGATCCAACTCTTTTAAGTTGTAATAGTGTAAACTGATCTTATGTGAAAGTATTATTATTCAAGATAATGGTTAGTTCTAAAATGATTTGAATTCGAATTATTTATTTGAATTATTTATGTAAAATGATATATTTTTAATACTAATCAGTATTGGTAATAATATTGGTAAACATGCGCTGTAAATAGATTGGACAATGTTGTTGAACTACGTGAAATTGTAGTTGGATGAAACCTACACAGCCCATGTTATCAGTAGGAAGGATAACACCCTCTTCACAACAGATTACTTTCCCATTATTTTCGTTTCATCCTCCACTTGTTTTAATCGTACTGTGCGCAAACCAATAGAAAACATCTGTGTTAATAAAGTAAATGCAATACAAATAAGTGGAACCAATCCTCGAAAGGATTTTTTTCAGCTTCGGTGTATATAAATAATTAAAAACAAAAAATAGATAACTATTAAGGTCAGTATTTTGGCCGATGTGATGAATTTACTTTACACTAAGGAGCATAAACTTAGAAATAATAACTGGGTTGGGGTGCTAGTTATGCGGTTTTGCCCAAGAACTAAGCTTATCTCAACGCAAATTTAGTTGCCTTTTCTTATTTGACGAAGACAATTTCCAAAATTTCAATCAGGGAAGCCTTTTCATCATCATTAACCAAAAGACCAAAGCTACCTTAGTAAACTAACATTTGTTCACAAACACGTTTGCTGCCTTTAGCAGAGTCAAAACTCTGGAGTAATTTAAATTATTTATTAGCAAACAAAGGCAAACAACAAACTGTTTTTTACACAAAAGATATGTTGTACTGGGGGTTCAATCCTGGCACAAAGATAATTAGATTCTGAGTTTGTGTAAATATTACAATAATTTGTTTTACATTTGAGCTTTTTAGGGACTTATGTCCCTACAAGCCACTAGTATCTTTTATGTTTCAACTAACTATCATTCAAAAACAAAGAGAAAGTAGATTTTATCAGAGTTTTGTAAACACTTCTACATGATACTTTCTTAAACGTGGTCTCCCTGAGTAAAATCCTGTGAACTGTAGCTGTTCCGGTGCTTTGGTACTGTACCAACCACAGCGTAAATCGACTTGTTTGAACAAAAAAAAAAACTTCCTAACCAAACATAACCTAACCTAACCCAACCACTCGTAGGCAAGGTTAGGTTAGGTAAGTTTATAGTTATTTGGTGTGGTCGTTAGGTGTGGTCGGTATAGTAGCGACCGCTAGTCCATATAGAGGATGTGGTGAATAGATTAATCGATGAATCAAACAGTGTTTTATAATATTACTTTAAACTACTCAAGTAGACTTCCACAGAAAACCTACGATATATTATCGAAAGAATAACGATTAATATCGAAACTTGTTCGTTTCAATGTATCGATTATAATCTTTTTTGACAAGTTGTTGTATTCGATGTGAAAGATTCATTAAAAATGAAACGCCTGAGAATTCCACGTTATTCTCGAACAGTTTACAGAAATAACGAGACATTTTGCTACATGACATCCGGAATAAAAATGCTGTCAGGTATTAGAGAAGAGTGTCTTACCTCTGGACAGTGCAATATAATCCTGACACTCCCTTACGTTAATTTTCTGTAAAATTTATTTAAATTCGAATTCAACGTAACTGTTGACAAAACTTGCTTACAATTGTTATTTATTTTCTGATAAATTTAACTTAAAATTGTGTGTAAACAAACTTTGATAGTGATGCAGTTTTAACAAGTTGCTCGGTATAGTTTACGCTTAGTAAAATTAATAAACATTTTTAATAAAAATTAAAAATAAAGTGAGTAGGTGATAGGTTTCGGTGAAATTAGTTACCTAGTATTATTTATTACTTACGTACGTAGGGAAATAGTTATTGATTTGGAAATAAGATGAATAGGTATTGACTTTTTTTAGATGTTACATTATGTAATATCTAAACGTATGTTGTTTTCTGTAGGTTTCTAACTATGGCCTATTATTTTACTTAATTTTGCTACCAACGTATACTAGCCTATGTGGTGTTTGCTGAGGCGTAAAAAAAGGAGTCTGTTTTAGCTATGATTGAGTCGAGTTTTCCGATCATTGTTTTATTTTGCCATTGACCCTTGCCCTTAAGCGTTATTATTTTTTATGTCCACAATTTTAAATTGA